AGCAGGAATAGTAGCACTGATGTGTTACAAGGATACATCCAACAGTAATTTTGTGGTACCTGAAAAAAGCAGGCTGATTCACTATTGGTTATTTTCATTCGGCTGACTCACCGGAGGACACTGGGCAGAGTAATTTTTTTAAAAATTCATAAAGGATGGTTCAAAGGCATTCATTATAATTTCATTAGTGTACAAGAGGCAGTTCTGAGTGGTTAAGTGCAGCCAATTTTAACTTGTACACACGAGTGATCACTGCTACAGTAAAATAAGCATATCTGTGGCTTTCTAGGAACATTATAGGTCTTAGCATCCTCCTGTAGCCGTAGGCACAGGACCTGTACCAGAGGAGCTGTGATCCCACCTGCCAGGGGACAGACCCACCAGCCCAGTGCGATTAGCTAGTTTTTTTTAAAAGAACACCATTAAGAAGACTTGTTCATGTCTAGATGCACTTGTTAAATTAAAACAACCTGAAGAAAGAGAGGGTCCTAATTTTCCTTCAGTTTTACAATACAAGCTCCAAGAAGGTCAGATAGCATCCTTTTCCTTGCTGGCCGCATGCATATTATCTAGCAATTTCTGCTGAATTTCAATAGTACATTAAGGTGAAGTTACATGTTACTGTTGAACCAATATAAAGGCCAAATCTTGCCAAAGAAGTGGGGGCTCGTGCTCCTGTCCATCCCTTTTTCTCCCCCCTCCCCTCTGCTCTGGTTCCTACTCAGATCAATATTTCCTTGCAGTGCCTTTAGCACTGACACCACCCTGCCCTGAGCCAGTGCAACTCACAAACCTTACAGAAAACTGTCCACTTTTCTGCCAGGTTGGCTTTTTGCTAACTTAGCTAGTCAGGTGAGCTCAGCTCAGGGGCAAGCAACAATGAGGGAAGGTGCAAGGCTGTCAGAAGGGGCAAAGAAAGCATAGCGAGGGCAGCAGGAGAAAACAGCATTGAGCTATTAGGTGGCTCAGGATGTGCCGTGTACACTCTTACGGAAGCAAACATGTTTTCCTTCTATCTGTTTGTTTCAGTGTTTGAGTTAAACAGAAGTTTAGAAAACAAAGACTTTGCATCAGCCTGCACTGACATTCCCTCCCGCTTAGTCATGACAGGGATGCTGTGAGCCCAGCAGCCAGACATCGGGTTAGGATTTGGGAACCTTTGGCACAGCGGACGTCAGCCACTTCCTTTCCCTGTGGCTCACTTTTTCCTCCTGTGAAAGGGAGACAGTAATTACACATGCAGGAGAGCTACACGACCTGATTCATCGGTGCATGTAAAGCCTTGTCACAAAAGGAAGAGGGAAGGCGAGAGAACAATTTGCTCTCTGCGCCTCACTTGAGCAATTGTCACCTCTCAAACGACTGGTGAAGAGTTCAGCTCCTGCATCTGTGCACTGAATTCGACCTCTGAAGCTGCTATCTGTCTCCCTGCCCATCCACAGCCCCGGGGGGGTCGGATGATGCTGCAGGATCCTGCTTTAAGTTGTATTGTGGCAGTAGGTCACTATCCTCTGATGAAGAAAACACTGATGCCTTCACCTTCTGTACCTGCGATGCATTCTCTTCTCTGACAATATTAAGCCTGCAGGGTGGAATTTTTGAGAGTGTCTGACTTAAAAAATTATTTTTTCAAAATGACTAAAGGCTTCACTCAAAGGAAAATTCCCAGCCACTGCCATGCCAAAGTAATTATAGCCCTACCACAAAAATTATCCTGCTATAATTATGCCGATATGAGCCTCCATCTGAACAATATGCTGGGATATTTTCCCACGCAGCCAAAATCCTCTGGCAGCAGTGGTTCCAAGCCTTGGGGGGGAAGGGACCTGCTTCGAAAAGCCGTCTCCTCCCTCACCCTGGTGCTTTAGAGAGCGACCTGAGATCTCCCGTTCCCCGGTACGATTTTCCCCATCTGAGTGTTGTAGCTCGACTCCTGCCTCCCTGCAGCCTCTCCGACTCCTCCCAGGAAGTCCCAGCTGCAGATGAAGCATTTCAGAGAGAGGGAGAGGGCGGCATGTGTGCAAATGCCGCCTGGGCGGACGTGCCAGACTTTCGCAGCGTAAGGCAGCGTGGCCCAGCTTGATGTAAGTCAGTTTTTACTCCCCACCATCCCTTCTGGCAGCTGCCTTGCGCCTACGTGTGCGTGCTTGCTGGTTGTTGCTGCTGCTGCATTCGCCCGTGCTCTCGCTGTGGCATTGCGACCCTACGGTGTGACGGGGTTAGGGGGACCCTCGCCCCCAAAGCCCTTTGGGTGCAGCTGTGAGCAGCCAGGCTGGCCAGCACCATGGAGGTGCTTGGGGAGCACCGGGACAGAGGAGGCGGCTGGTGCCTGTGGGCTGGAGGGCGGGAGGTGGTGAGTGACCGGTCCCCATGGTGACCTTTCGGCTGTCACCTCCAGAATCCTCACTGTGCTCCAAACCATGCACCCCGCCAGGACGAGAGGTGCCCTGGCTCCCAGCTGGGAGCCTGCCTACAGCACAGCTTGAAGTGCCCAAGGACGTGAGAGGCTCCCTGAGCCCTTCCCAGGCTTTTTGACTCCCTGGTGGCTGACCCCGCTCCAAAACATTGTCCGGGACTGGGGAGGTGAGGCAGAGCCCTCTGTCCTTGCCCCAGATGGCTGCTTCCACCGGGAGCAGCACTCTGACCCCGATGATGCCTCTAAGCTCTTTGCAGGAGCCTTGTGCACAGCTCTTCCACCAGCTCTGTAGTTTTCTGTAGTCTAGTGAAGCCCTTTTTCCTGCCACACTTCGGTTTTGTCACCTGCAGGGTTAGTCCCCTCCTTCCAGTGCTCATTTGCTTTGCATCTCAAAGCAGTGTCCCCCCACATCTCAGCGCCCCGTTCCCAACACGCAGCTGTCCCGTGCACAGGGACAAAGTGGGTATTTCACAGTCCTGAGCTTCCTGTGGCTTCCTGTATTTCCATAAATTGTACTGTTTTTTCCCACCTGGGCAAAGAGATGTAAAATCCCACTGGTCCCAGCAGGCAGCCACTTTGCACTTCTGTTAGAAATGACACAAAATGCAAACAGGGGACTCACATCCTGCATGTAAGGATGGAAAGCACACTAGTAGTACTGAGAACTTACCTGTGGACTAGCCAGCTTCAAATCTGTTTTAATTTATTTTTTGGTAGCTGGGTAAATTAATCCATGGCTGGTCAAAATAAAGGTGCATGCATCCTCCAGACTCACCACTTTTATCTCAAGTACCTAACAAAACAGTAACTTATTTTAGCTTAAATATCACATGTTTAACTGTACAATAGTTAAGGGGACCTGAGATGAAGGAGCAGACTATATCAGACACAGAAATTAAATTGTTTGGGGCCTTGAAGGAAAGGTAAACACCAAAATCACTTTGCAGATGGAAGCTGACGTCTTGATAATCAGAACAAAACTTGAAACTAAAGAGCTTGGAGCTGCAGCAGCTGAGAGGCCAGAGATTCTCAAAAACAGGAGCACTCTTGCTTTGATTTTTGGTTTGTTTGTTGTTTTTTTTTAAACTTTAAGAACATGAAGGAAGAGAAGGGGTAGGTTTGCATGAAGTAGGTTTGCCCAGCGTACATCCCTAAAGCCCCCTGTTTTACTTGCCAGCCCCAAGAGACAGGGTGGCCAAACCCTCCCAAGACACAGCCCCATCAGTGAGGCAGGTGGAGGTGCTGCAGGGGAGGAAGGGCAAAGGCAAGAGATACCTGGGGTCAGTGAAACTGGACGGGAAGCTGATGGTGAATACTGAATTCCCAGAGAATGTTCTCTTGCTGATGCCCGCACTGCTCCCCCCAGTGCAGAGGAAGGTAGGGGAGCCTGAAATTGGGGAGAGAGGAGGCAGAAGCCATGGGTGCCCTTGCGATCCTGACTTTGTGTGTGTCATGGGCACAAAGTACAATCCCAGCATTGTTTGACATTGCAGTGACAACACACAAAGCGGCTCATTTCCCCTTTTCCTTTCTGGGGCAGAATAACCACAGCTTTGGGTCTGGACCTGCGCTGTGTCCCCAGGTACCTGCAGTGTTTGCTTTGCCCCTGCAGCTGTGGAACGATTATCTCACCCCTCTGCTTTGTGTCCGGGGGAAATGCAGGTCCATGCCCGCGGGAGTGAGACAGCAGGAGCCGTGGCATGCTCAGGAGAGCAGGATCATCTCTGCGTCACTTCTTGCTGGAGAGGAAGAGCAGCGTTGGATATAGGTCGTACTCCAGCAAGGTATTTAATGCCCAGCGTGACTGTTCCTGGCCGGCAGCCTGGTCCCTGGCTCAAGCTGCAGCGGTCTGGAGCCCAGGGAAGCTCGCCGCTCAGGAGCTAGCCTTGGCAGCGATGGCAGATAGGGCATGTCAGTAAAAACCAATCTCCTCTGTACCCGCTTATTTCCAGGTAGCCTGTTTAAAGGGAACATCTCATAAGCAAGAGAATATCCTGCACACAGAAGAAAGCTCATTGTATGTGGGGTTGCGTCATCTGATGGTCTCTTCTACTAAAGCTTCTCAGGTTGCAAAGTACTTGGGAAATTTTAGCATCCCTCTTGGAGATACAAACATGCAGAGCAAAGAAATCACGTGTGGCAGGGAGTCAGTGGTGGAAGGCTGTGGCCGTTAAGTCTTCTACATTTGCACTCAACTATCCTGTCTGGCTGCCAGGCAAATCGCAACTGGAGAAACACATCGTTTGGTTTGGGGAGCAGAACAGGCTGACACAGATTTGGGGACTGTGTGGCCCCAAGTCTGTGTTACTCTCCAGCCTGATGGGCAGCCGCCCATGGCAGCATCATGCAGGCTAGGGATGGGTTGGGGGGGATGTCAAAAGAAGAAAGTATTTGTCATTTCCCTTCCTGAAAGGGCTGGAGCAGATAAGGTCCTTCCTCAGAACTGGGAATGTCTAAGCTTAAAGCACCTTCTTCCCAGTCACCCCCATCACATTTCACAGAATGGGCAGGGTTGGAAGGGACCTCTGGAGATCATCTAGTCCAACCCCCCTGCCAGAGCAGGGTCACCTACATTTGCTGTTAAATTCTCTGAACCGTGGCCAGCAGCAGCCCCACTGCACTAGAGAAGTTAATACTTCACCTCCAGCTATCTTTTACTTCCCAATCCACAAATCCTTGTACTCCCACCAAAATCAGCTCAGACACCAGGTGTTGCTGACCATAACATCCATGAGTTTGTGCAGAAACACAAGGCAGGGGGCTGGGGGAGAGGAGTGGGGTTCCCTGAGACCTGGGGAGAAGTGACTTCTGCTCGCCTTGGCTGCCTGCCCGGCACCACGGGGGAGCACAGAGTCCACCCGGTGCCCTCTGAAACGCAGGGCTCCTCAGCAAGTTGTTTGCAAAGATCCTGAGTGAGGGCTGAAGCTGTATAGAAATCCAGAGACCTCAATACAAAATATCATTGGGGCACTTTTCAAATTCTGGTGCAGACCTCAGGGAACAGCAAAGGTGAGCAGGTAAGCAGGGAGTTACAGCAGAAGCTGAGCCTCAGGAGGGGGGCTGACCTGGTTATTTTCCCCCACCATCCCATCCCATCCCATCCCATCCCATCCCATCCCATCCCATCCCATCCCATCCCAGCACGGCCTGTGTCCCCTCGCATTGCAGCTCTGCATCTCACATCTTGGCTGCTTTCACATGCTCTCCTCATCCCTGTTCAAATGTATTTTATTTGCCATGGTGATGATCATTTTTTTGGCTCATTGCTTCAGAGATGCCCTCCTCACATCCCCACACTGGCTTTTTTTGGTGCACTGAGCATCATTTGTCTCCAGTTTCCAGTCCCTTTGCTGTCTGGTTACCTTTTCCCTGACCTGTTGAGTTATTAAATTCTGCCTCTGCCGCCTTTCATCATCCTCGTGATAAATTCCCCATCAAGTACATCTGAATTTCTCCCACTGTGCTTATCTGACTTGAAAGAGGATTTTGCTCCGGATGTTTCCTACTGTCATTCTTCCTACCCCCCCAGCCATGATGCACGTGGAAATTAGATATAAGTCAGGCAAATGGTACCTTGGTGTCTCTGTACATCACACCGACCTTTGTGCTGTGCTCCCCTCTTGCCTGTACCCAGCTGCTGCCTGGTTTTTCCATGAACTTTATGTGCAAAACCCAGCATTTTGGTTAGGATCTAGAGCAACTCCCTTCACCAAGGGCTCACAAGGGCAGTAGGAGAAAGGAGCGAATGCTACTTCTGCTACACCTTAGAGCAGTGTGGAATAAAAAAAAATTTGTTCTTCTAGGAAAAGAGGATATTTTCTGGCCTGTAGAGAACAAGGAGGTCCTTCTGATGGAGGACAAGAGAGGCAATTAAGGCAGAAGCCTGAGATCTGGGATCATTGGCCTGGCTGTTACAGCTTGGCTGAGCTCATTTGACCCCATGATTTCCTCAAACTGAAAATGAGGTTTTAGGCATTGCCAACTCCCCAGTGAGTGTACACACATTTCTTTTGTTCATCTGTTTTCTCAATTCTTGTTGAAACTTGTAAATGAAACATTGCCCTGTGCCAGCTCTCATCTGTTTGATCTTTCATAAAAAGTGTGTGAAACCTCTTCCAGAAGCCACTGCATCAGCATTACTACTCTAAGGTTGGTCAGCAACAACCCATGAAGCAATACTGGAAGGGCACACCTTCTATTGGGAAAAACATACCTGGGAAGGCCGTGTCTCCATCGCACGTGGCCCCATTGCCATGAGTGAAATCTTCAAACCAACTTTCTTTCTCTCTCTTTGCAGGCAAAAATGTCGAGGCCAGTGCAAGCTCGGAGGCTGGAGGGAACAGATAAGAATATCTGGTGAGTTAAGATAATATCTGGTTTACCCTGGTGGTAGATGTGGTTTTAAGCAGCCTAACACCAGACAAAAACCACCACAGCCACACAGCACAGAGCAGCAGTCTCCCTCAGCTGCTTTGCATTTGTTCAGGAAGCACATCAGGGCAGGTTCCTCCCAGGAGACCTTACCCTGGCTCAGCTCTGTACCTGCTGCTCGCACTTTATGCCGTACCGGGTGTCCCACACCATCCTGTGGGAAGGCAGGTGGGAGCACCTTGTAGTGCATCGCACTCCATCCAATCCCTCCACCTGAATGATCCCAGCGGCACCCAAATCTGAGCCAAGTAGTCATAGCACGCTGGCTCCAGCCTGGTGTCTGCTTCAAGCCCAACTTAGGGCATTGCAAGCAGAGAGGCAGGCAAAGGGATGCTGCAAATGCCATTCCCAGCCTGCCAGGCACAGTACAGCATTGGGAAAACTGCACGCTTGAAGAAGATATTTAAATGGGCTTTCCCTAAAGCCCTGCTGTAACTGATTTCAAGCTACAAACTGCTGATGAGATGGCTCTTGGGTGAGACAAGGGCAGAGTTCAGCCTGCCTTTCCCTCTACACCACATTCATGGTGTCCAGTTGCTAGATTTTGCAGAACTGGTATGAGCTTGAAAACCTCTAAGTCCTCTCCTGCTTGGTCTGGTCTGATCAGAAGTGGTGTGTGGCTTCGTCTGTGACCACACAACCAGACAGCACAATGGCTGTTTCCTTCAAGAACAAATTAAAACCACCCCCCAGTGCAATTGTGCCTCGTCCTCAGTTTAATTGAAACAGGTCTGAAATGACCTGTGCTTGGCCTTGTCCACCTGCAAGCAGCAAGGTGGCTCTGCAGGAGGAACACCAACCTCACTCACTTCTGCTGACAAGCAGAGCCAGTGCCAGCATGCTGCCCGGACCCTCTGTAAAAGCTTCTCTTTCTCTTCTTCTCTCCAGGGTGGAGTTTGTAAAACTGGCTGCTACCTACTCCACGGTGAACCTGGGCCAGGGCTTCCCCGACTTCCCCCCACCCGACTTTCTGAAGGAGGCATTCGCGAGAGCCCTCAGCGGGGAGAACCACATGCTGCACCAGTACACCCGTGCCTTCGTGCGTGGGCAGAGCCCCGCTCCTCAGCAATACCCCCCCTCACTCCCTGTTAGCCTTGGCCGCTTCAGGGCTCACCCGGCAGCAATAAACAGGGAAACCCACATGAGGCGAAACACATACGCAGCCTCAGCCCGGGCTCCCTGCACCCAGCGCCCTAACACCATGCTTTACCAGGGCGTTAGAAACAGCCGGGCTGGAAGATGCCCCACATGCTCAGTCACAGGGCACTTGGCTGCCCAGGCCCCTTCCAAGGGCTTATCCATGTTTTAGGAGGCTTCTGCAACCCAATTCCCACCCCTCCTCTCACCCCACAGGGCCACCCCCCTCTGGTGAAGATCCTAGCCCAGTTTTTTGGGAAGCTGCTTGGACAAGAACTGGATCCTATGAACAACGTGATGGTGACTGTGGGTGCATACCAGGCTCTTTTCTGCTGCTTCCAGGCTTTCATTGAGGAAGGTGATGAGGTAACCCAAGATTTGGGCTTGTTGCACAGGCAGCCTTCCTCCAACAGAGCCCTTCTTGTCTCTGGATCTGCTGGGGGAAGGTTTTCATAGTCTTTTTGCAATGCAGAAAAGTTTTTATCCCCATTCTCCAGTATTTGAGCTTCCAAAGGAAAAGTTTCTCTGCTGCAGGGCACTATCTTATTTCTGCATACAGCAAAATAACCTTTTTGCCCCGAGTGATATTGTTCTTGCCTGACACTGCCCACAAGCAATGCACATTCTCCATTACAGTAATTCAAGGATTAAAATTTCCTGTCCCTCCCATTTCTCTCTGCATCCATCAGGGAAGGTCTGAGCAGGGGCAGGAGGGTGCTGACATGTCCCTTCTTCCAGGTGATAATCATTGAGCCCTTCTTCGACTGCTATGAGCCGATGGTGAAAATGGCTGGTGGGACGCCTGTGTTTGTCCCGCTGAGACCGGTGAGTGTGTCAGAGCAAAGCCATCGAGGAGGGAAGAGTCACAGCAAAGCGAGCGAAGAGGTGAGTGGTAAGTGAAGCGCAGAGGTAGCAAAGCAAGCTGAGATTCCTCTGTGTTCTCTCTAGAAAGCTCCAAAAGATGGCAAATTGATGTCTAGTGCAGACTGGCAGCTGGACCCAGCTGAGCTGGCTTCTAAATTCAGTGAACGGACAAAAGCCATCGTCCTGAACTCACCCAACAACCCTCTGGGCAAGGTAACGCCTCTGGCCTTGCTGTGGCTGGCCCTGAGAGCAGCTGGGGGGCTGCAGCTCCCCCAGCCACATTTGCAGTGTAGCAGTGACTTGACCCTCCTTGCACACAAGGGAAACTGGTGTTGTGGCAGCACCGCACGCTGCGCTCGCTCATCTGGTGTTTTTTAAGCCTGGTCTTTTGTGCCAGCAGTGGCTCTGCCCTGCTAGACCACTGCAGCCAGCTCCTGCCCACCCTGGCTCGGGAGATGGTGCAGGCAGGGTGTGCAGCCTTTGCGCAGTGTAGCAGTGACTTGACCCTCCTTGCACACAAGGGAAACTGGTGTTGTGGCAGCACCGCACGCTGCGCTCGCTCATCTGGTGTTTTTTAAGCCTGGTCTTTTGTGCCAGCAGTGGCTCTGCCCTGCTAGACCACTGCAGCCAGCTCCTGCCCACCCTGGCTCGGGAGATGGTGCAGGCAGGGTGTGCAGCCTTTGCGGAGAGGCAGGGACAGGCAGGGGCTCCGAAACGCACCTGCAGCATCTCTGCTCCACTCCCTGCCTGCTGCAGGTATTCAGCCGAGGGGAGCTGGAGCTCATTGCAGACCTGTGTGTGAAGCATGACGTCCTGTGCATCAGCGATGAAGTGTACGAGTGGCTGGTCTACGACGGGAAGGAGCACATCCGCATCGGTACGGAGAACAGCTTGGCTGAGCTTGGGTGTCTTCTCTAGGTACAGCAGCTTCAGGAAAGGAACTAGTGATTTAACTGGGTTGCCCTGGAAATTGCATGGGCTCCTTGCATGCACAACTCTGCCAGGCATGTATCCCCATTAGAGGTATTTTGCTGCAGTCAGTCTCAGCCTCTAAACCAGGTCTTAAACTGGACTACTGACTTTCAGAGCCAGTCAGAGGAAACAGAGAGTTGGCTTCACAATGGGAGATCCAGAGCAAAGAGCCCTTTGGCTCCAGAGAAACGGTATTCTTTTCCCCACAGTTTTCTGGTGTTTTGGTTTTAGGACGTCCATTTCAACATGATTTCAGAGGCCTGTTCTTCCTGTTGCAGTAACGTGCAATCACCTTGTTGCAGGGTGATGGTGCTTGGCACCTCTAGGAACCCCTGGGGCTGGCTACGTGCGTATGAAAGCACTTAATTACAAAGAGATGCTCTTGAGAAACCTGGCTGCCTGCTTGGGATGTGCTTTGAGGCTCATTCAGGTGAAAGACGTGCTGTGAACACAAGAGGCCACCATGGGTTATGTTGGGCAAAGAGCTCCCACCATGTTATTAATGCAGTCCAGAAGTGAGCACACTGAGCGCTGCCATCGGTGCTTCTCTCTTGTTTCCTTGCCAGCCAGCTTGCAAGGGATGTGGGACCGCACGGTGATCATCGGGAGTGCTGGAAAAACCTTCAGTGCCACTGGATGGAAGGTGAATTCTCCTGTGTGGCGTCCCGTGTTCTCTCCAGCCCTGTCCCTTCGCTCCAGGGCATGGGTCCCATTGCCATAGCGTGGTGCTGTGGACACTGCTGCCACAAACTCTGCTTTGAACCTCAGAGTCTGAAAGTACCAAAGCTGCTTTACAGTAGCTCTGTCTGGAAAGTACAATGAAGTCAGCACAGGCAAATAAAGGGGAGACCGAGCGCGTATCCAGAAATTTACCAACTTCCTCCTCCTCTCCTGGCCTTAGGTGGGCTGGACCGTGGGACCCAACCGGCTGCTGCAGCACCTCCGTACTGTGCACCAAAACTCAGTGTACCACTGTGCCACAGTTGCCCAGGTAAGGTGGCTCCCTGCAGCCTGCCCCACAATTCCCAAACCCCTGAACCAGGGCTGAGACAGGGTCCTTCTGCCCACGCTGACCTGAAAGGCACAGACAGGGTGAGCCCTGGAGAGGCTCCTTCCCCTCTCCCTGCAATTCCCCCATGCTCGGGAGGAAGGAGCGAGTCCAGTCTGCCTGGGGTATATTCCTTATTTTGTATTGACAAATCTAAGAGGCCATTTGGAGAGGCTGACGGCAGAGAGCTGAGCTTGGTGCAGTGAGAAATCACCCCCTGATCGCCTGTGAATTGCATCCCAGCAAAGACTCCGGTTCTCAGGCAAGTCTTGACCGTCTCCCCACCGGGCACCTCTCTCCTCGCAGGAGGCCGTCGCTCAGGGTTTCCAGAGGGAGCTCGAGCTCTACGGGAAACCAGACAGCTACTTTGTCCAACTGCCCAAGGAGCTGCAGCGGAAGAGAGACTGGCTAGTCCAGAGCCTGGATGCTGTGGGGATGAAACCCATCGTCCCTGAGGGCACCTACTTCTTGGTGGCAGACATCTCCAAGTTCAGTGAGTCACGCAGCTTCGGTTTTGCTCAGGCAGGGCTGAGTATGGGAGACCAGCTCGGAGGGGTACCACTAGCAGGGACGGGAACCTGCATAAACCACTGCCAAAGCGGGGATGGAAAATAGCGTGTTTCCCATCTGAACTCCCAGAGGCTGTGGGTTTGGGGCTTGGCTGAGGCACACAGCAGTGGCCCCCACTTCCGTGCTGCTGTTCTTCTCCTGCAGAATCTGACGTCCCTGATGTCCCCGACTCTGATGAGCCCTACGACTCCAGATTTGCAAAGTGGATGGTCAAGAACAAGGTAAATGCACCTGGTCCTTTCCACCACGTTTGCCCCGGGTGGGTTTGTGCCCTCCCTGCTGGCTGCGCTCACGGGAGCCGGCAGCAAACCACTGCTGCCGGGTCCGGTAGCTCATCCAGAGGTGTCTGTCAGCAGCTGGCCCCAACCATGGCAGAGTGAGGCACCAGACAGGGCACCAAGTGCATGTACAAGCCCATCCATGAGTCTTGCAAGCAACAAGCATATGGCTCCATGCCAGCCCAGACAGAGTAACCTCAGCTTCACTTGTTTCCCCTTCCCAGGGACTTGCCGCCATCCCACTCTCCGCTTTCTACTCTGGGGCCCACAAAAACAACTACAGCCATTTCATCCGGTTCTGCTTTGCAAAGGTGAGATATGTGGCAGTACAAAGAAAGGTGAGATTGAGAGTAATAATCAGGGCTGGTTTAATGAGATAAATGCCAAGCAGAAATGCAGAGTGCCTTGGGCATTAGAGCCTGAGTGTGGCATCACAGATGGTTCAACCCCCTCCTGCAGACATGCGAGCCAAGCCAGGGGGCAGGAGTTGTGCCCGTGCTATCCTAAAATTTGTCCCATCACATCCCACATTTCTTGGTCAAGGCAGGGAGTCTTCTGGGTGCGCATTTAACCGCCCCATGGCTATGCCTGCCCCAGAGATGCTGTGCCTGTCTCATACTGAACACAGGACATTTGCAATGTTCCAGAACAAGAACAGGATTTTTAGATAAATGATGACTGGAGTGAGGGGAAAGGGGATTTGGCTGGAAGCCACTGACCAGACCTGCGGTATTTGTTTAGGAAGAAGCCACACTGAAGGCAGCAAGTGACATATTGCAAAAATGGAAACAGGAGAAAACCAGTCCCTGAGCACACTGGAGAGAAAACCAGGCTCTCCTTGGTCCTTACCTGCCATGACCGCTCTTAAAAACGCTCTTCCTCCTCTTCCTTTGCTTGGCTACAAACTTTGATATGTCCTTATTTTAGTGCTTTCAACCACATTTTCTGTGGTAAGAGGTTTGCCAGGGCCTGGGAGACACTCGGTAACTGTGAAGTGATTGCACTGTTCTTTGCAAAAAGTGAGTCTTTGCATGTGCTGCCAGTATTCGATGTTTCCTCTCATTATGTTTAAACACTTTGATAATCAGTTCTGGGATGCATCCAGCAAGACACAAGGTAACGATGGCTCCTGGCGTCTTTTCCACCACCAAATGCTGAAAAGGTGTTTCAGGACCTACCTTTAAGGCCATGCTGGGGGTTAGTGTGCCTTGTCTTGCTCCACATACCCACTCATGTACCCCAAGGCGCAGGACTGTGTTTCCACCAGCACACACATTCTCACAGGACTGTGCAGTATCACCATGTGTCAGTACATTGATTCCTACGATCCTGAAAATTATAAACCCAGTGAAAAGCTGTTTTCCATAATTAACAGTTTTCCTACTGTTTTTTTTTTTTTTTTCCTGTGCATCTCTGGGGAAAGTGACCGTAGAATCAATAACTGGCTCCCCCAAGGAAATGGGCTTTCATAAATAGCCCAGATATTGCCAAACCTTCCCTGTGCATCCCCCAAACCACGCCTGGCACTTTGTCAGGGCTTGGCAGCATTGCCCAGGCTGCAAAGCAAAACCTTAATGCCTTTGAGAAGTGCACAGAGTGGATGGGGAGGAAGGACACAGCAGCCTCCGGCTGCTCCTGTTGCTGGTGGCCCCCGCAGCTTCCCACCCACCAGTCTGGTGGGTGGTGACATAACATGAGCAGCATTTTGAAAGGTAATTCTTGCACCATTCTCGATTTCAACCTGGATAAGAATGTAAAACAGCATCATCAATCACTCAGGAGTTACATGCAACAGACTGTGCGATAAGTATTTGTGGCGGTTAAATTATTAAAGATGAATTACTGCAATTATTGAAGAGTAAGTGTCGCTGTAATGATTAAAGGGCTGACACAGCTCTCCTGAAGACCTGCTGTAACCTCACCTGTGCAACATCTGCGTAGCATCCCATGGTGGTGGCTGTTCATCCCACCCAGGCCGGCGGGTGGTGGCTCTACAGGTGTTCTGTCTCGGGCTGCAGCTGGCAGTACCGACCCCCGTGGAGCCAGAGCTGCACTGAGCGACAGGGGGAGGCAAACACCTACCTCCTGCCTTTGCCCACAGGAGACGCGTCCCGTCTCACCTCCCTGCATAGCCTGGGTGGGTGAGGGTGCTGCTGAAGGCCATTTTGCACCCACATACGTGCCAAGTGCTGGGAGAGCTGCAATCACCGCAACAGATAAACAACTGTGAGATTAGATTATGAGCATAAAGATTACTTGCAACATCCCCACATGCTTTGGCTCTTGCTCTAGGCCATGACACACCCCACACGGGGCAGGGTGCATCTCCCCATCCTCCACCATGCACTCAGTGCTTGGGCAGAGAGGCTCCGGCCATCCCCACCCTCCCTGGAGAGGCTGAGCTACACCCTCGTTCTTCCATAGCTTCTCTTAGGTCACCCATCCTCCCACAGAACGAAGCACCACCTGCTTAGCTTGACATCCCGCGCAGGCGACTTAAACACTGCCCCCTCCCACCCCCCCCACGCGCCTGGCCATTGGCTCACGTGACTCCGGCCTCCGCCAATCACCACCGCGGCGGG